CTCTGTACAGTATTTTCACAATAAAAAAAAAAAAAAAAACAGAAGAAAGGAATGTAAAATTATGAAAACCAGGGAAAAGAAGGGTTTGGGGAGAACTTATCCTTTCTGAAAGGAGGAGAATCCCAAAGAGATTTTATCATCCAGCATTATCTATGATTTCTGTGTAAGGACATTGGTGCTTAAACCACATCATTCACTGCCTATTATCTAACAAGACAAGCATACAGTTGCATACATAAAAAAACAAAATATTGTTAAGACCATCTAACAGACAAGGTAAGTTCACGATCACATGCTACATATCCATTTGATCAGCTGAATGGAAAAAGAAGTTATGTGAATATTTAGAAAGAAACCTAAGCAGAGAGACAGCAAGTACAAAGATTCTGAGGCTCCAACTTGCCTGACATACTCAAGACCCAATAATATCTAGCTTCTGTAATACGCAAAGAAATGCACAACAACCAAGTACCAGTTAGAAGAATATAACTTTGTAACAAATTGAGTATCTCAAATTTTTGGTGTCCTGTCTGATTTGCAGTAAAGCAAATTGCAATAGAGCAACATTGTCTTTCCAAGACTAAGTAGGATTTTAGATTTTTTTGTTGTTTTTGTTTTTGTTTTTCAGTTGTGGGGGCTGAACTCTGGGCTTGGGCGCTGTCCCTCAGCTTTTCAGCTCAAGGCTAGCGCCCTATCACTTGAGCCACAGCGCCACTTCCGGCTTTTTCTGTATATGTGGTACTGAGGAATCGAACCAAGAGCCTCATGCATGCGAGGCAAGCACTCTACCACTGAGCCAACTTCCCAGCCTGGATTTTAGATTTTGTGTTAATTTTTCAGAGTGATACTTTTAATGTCACATTCCACTATAATATACTGAAATGTCACATTTCAGTATAAATCCTTATAAGCATAAAGCAAAAACTAATTGTCACTATGTATTTTAAAAAACTATATGAAATAAAAATTAAATATATGTTGAATTAGCTCAGAGTAAACTAAGGAAATGTGACTCGTGAAGGATAAAAAAGAAATAAAACCTAGTTCTTACAAATGTCAGAAATAAACAATCTTTTGTATGGTCAAGAAAAAAAGACTAACTCATTTCTAATGGCAAAAACTGGACTAGACCCATGGGAGGAGGCTGGAAGTAGTATAAATTCAGACTGCTTCATTTGTGCTATGATTATTGAAATTATGAAGCACTACTCAAAAATAGAATACACATTCAATTAGAATATTTTAATAAAATAAACCACTAACTGGACCATAAAGTTTCAATAAATTTAAAAAGATTCAAAACATACAAGGTATGTTCTTTCTTATGACAGATTTAAGAAAGGAGTAACTCATGGCATTAAGAATTTGTGGGACGTTATTAAACAATACTTAGGGGGAAACTTACAGTTCTATATGTCTTCATGAGAAGATGAAAAGTTTTCAATCAATGACCTTAAGCTTTCACCATAAGTAGATAAAAGGAAATTAAAAGATTAAGTGGAAATCAATAAAATATAAACCAGCAACAGGGAAAAACCAATAAAACACTGAGAGAAACAATAAAATTGATAAGCCTCAGAATGATGTGGGTGAGAGGAGAAAGAAGGGAGAAAGAGGGGCTGGGAAGGTGGCTCAGTGGTAGAGCGCTTGCCTTGCATGCATGAGGCCCTGGGTTCAATTCCTCAGCACCACATAAGCAAAAAGAAAAAAGCTGGAAGTGGCGCTGTGGTTCAAGTGGTAGAGCACTAGCCTTGAGCTGAAGAGCTGAGGGACAGTGCTCAGGCCCAGGCCCAGAGTTCAGGCCCCACGACCGGATCCAAAAAAGAAGAAGGGAGAAAGAAGCTACAAATTACCATCATCAGAAACAAGAGAGGTGGAATTAGTATAAATTCCATATTAAAGTGTTGTAGACAACTTTGCACCTTCAAATATCACAACATAAATTAACACATTCCCTTTTTGTTCGCTCAAACTCAGTACCTGACACTTTTGTTCATTGGCTAGCCTCTACCAAATGAGCCACTCCTCCAAACCCTGAACATACTCCATTGAGGACACAAATGATCAAGCTTGTCCAAAAGGAAAGTGATGCATCGAAACCCTTTGTACAGCTACTTAAAGTAATAAGGAAAAGATTTTAAAAAGAGGAAGCAGTAGCCTAAATGGTCTTATTATTAGAAACTGGAATTTAAAAACATTCCTATGAAGAAAAATCCTGACCCAGATATCTTCACTGGATGCTAAATTCATAGAAGCTGTTGTTAAAAATGAGGAACATTTCCAATTTACATATGGCTAACATTACTATGAAATAAAAACTAGACAGTTTTTATTATATATTAATATATCATCTATTCCAAATAAGAAAGCCTGATTTTGAAACTTCTAACCAGAATGTATCTTTTTTCATCACTTCTCCTGATAACAACTTGTCTTATCCTTATAATCTAAGCTTTGAGTTTAAGAATACAATATAAAGCTGTATTTTCCTGGCTTCTTTGTTGGATTGTAATCTTTCTAGAACTTCTATTCTCTTCTCTCTTGTGGCTTCCCCCCCCCCCCCAGAGTTGTGGGACTTGAACTCTGGGCCTGGGTGCTATCCCTCAGTTCTTCAGCTCAAGGCTAGCGCTCTACCACTTGAGCCATAGTGCCACTTCCAATTTTCTGGTAGTTTACTGGAGATAAGTCTCACAGACTTTCCTACCTGGCTGGCTTTGAACCGCAATCCTCTGATCTCAGCCTCCTGAGTAGCTAGGATTACAGGCATGAGCCACTGGCTCCCAGGTTCTCTTATGGCTTTTTAACTTTTCAGTCTCATTGTTTCTCTACTTTATCCCTAGAGATCTGTTAGTTATTGTGTTTACTATATTGCACAGCATTATCCAATAAATTTGATTTAGCAAACATTTTGAATAATTCACTTTCTGTTTCCTTTGTATTATGCTTCACAGACAAAGCACATATCCTTTCAATGATTTTTGTTTCCTTCCAAGAAAAAGATCACTCTCTTCTCTGGTCATCATGGCCATGTCAATATATTTTAAGTACAAAAAAAAGCAGGAAATCATTATGCTTGGTGCCTACTATCTTGAACCATAAATCTGACCCCTTTATACGGGAAGTTTGTTACAATACTCACTATAGGTACCAGAACAATTTTGCCTTTAAGAGAAGTATCCAGTTAAGTAAACCACATTATGCAACCTGCTACCATAACAAATACTAGCATGATAGAAGAACCACAGGCCAGGCAGGAAGACACAAGTTCAACAGTACTAATAATCTTATCTAAGTGTCTACTTGCTTTTCTGTAACAGTTGCCTCATATAACTAATACACCTTTTCAATCTTATTAAAACTTCCCTAAACAACTGCTATTGTTTGAATACTAGTAGCTAATCTAACTCTCCATTAAAAAAAACACTAAAACTAAAACTGCCAGGGTGCCAGGAGTAATGACATATACCATGTAATCCAACACTGTGAAAGCAAAGGCAGGAGGATCCCGAGTTCAAGGCCAGGTAGTCAACACAGTGAGTTCTGGCTATATAGTCAGACTGTCTCAAAAACAAAACAAAAAAATCTTTCAAAACAAAAAAAAAAAAAAAAATCCCCAAAGAGCTAACAAGACAATGACTAAATATTATTCCAGAAACATAAACCAGCTGAGAAACCAGAAACAAGCAAAACACTATAGGGAATGTTGTCCTGAGAGACCTTCCTTACCAAAAGATTCCACTGAGAATGTTATGCATCTGATCGATACCTGTAAAACCCAGCTGCTTTAGAAGGTGATGGTCTGGAGGATCATGGGGTTTGAGATCAAACTTGGGAAAAACTTAGCAAGATCCATCTTGGTGTCTGCCTATAATCCCAGCTACAAGGGAAGTATAGGTAAGAGGATCACAGTTGTAGACTGGCTATAGACAAAGAGTCAGAATACCCTATCTAAAAATAGACTGGCAAAAATTAGTGGATCCAGTGACAGAGCACCTGTCTTATAAGCAAAGACCCTGAGTTCAAACTCCAGTACCACCAAAAAGAGAATAAAAAACTAAGGCCTACAAAAAGCTGTTCACTTACTATTAAGAATTGACTAGAAGTAAAATATTCCTCTAAGTAGTCTTCAACAATCATTTGCATCATACCAAAGGAACCAGAAAAATCTCAATCATCAAACATGAATTGATTAACATAGTCCCCTCCCCCTCAGTACTTGATATAAGCAAACAAACATCCTTTTGGAAAAAGATGGTATCACAGGCCTCAAATGATTTAGGAATAGCATCTCTGAAATACTTGTTGCTGAAATTATGTGAATTAAATACAGATGCAATTTCCTAAGCATGCACCATCAAAGACCTTTAGACTGATATGTAAAAAGCGGACAAAATTTTTTTATACAGAATGCTTCACAAATTTGTGTGCCATCCTTGCACAGGGAGAGGCCATGCTAATTTTCTTCATATCGTTCCAATTTTAGTATACATGCTGCTAAAGTGAGCATCAGAATTTAATTCCATTTTGTTTGCATAAATTTATAGACAACCGGAAAATGTATCTTCTGTATAAATGTAAACCATATCGGTTGATTCACCTTTTGTAGTTTGGCAAAGTCTTCATGTTTTAAAAACTAAACAGCAATGGTTTTTCAGTGTGGCCTACTTCAGATAAAAAGGAACCACAAGCAACAAAACAGCATGTTGACACTTTGAAGTAAGCAAAACAGAAAAACATGCCACTCTACAATAAGATTATGTACATACAATTCAACATTTTATCTTCTATATAATCACCAACTGAATTTATTTCCCAACTCTTTTATCTTCTTTGCCAAGAAATGGAAGTGATTTGAAATTACTATCCTAATAGTTTTACTTACACCTTTGATAACTTTTGAATTTATTCACCTCTAATTTTTATTACCAGAATGGATCCAACAGAATGCTTTTAACATACAAGTAGCTATAACTATCAATATCTTCTTTCTCCCCTCATACCTATAGTATCTGGGAGGTCTAGGAGTTCATTGTGCTGCAAGTCAAGGTTGGTTATCTGTGTACAGTTTCCAATCTCCTTTGGAAGGTGTTCAAGTTGATTGTGAGCTACATCCAGCGTAATGAGGTTACATAATTCACCTGCAAATTGACCAACATAATAATTTAATAAGCATTATTTAAGAAAATATTAATACTTTGAGCAAGAGAATAAATTTTACAATTTCTAAATGTAACTGAAAGCATCATCTCATTTATATATGTACCTTTTATTTTAAAATGGCAATTTTCTAATGACCATAACTTACAATGTAAGAAGACAAAAAGCTTCCTTTTTCTCTATCATGACAACATTCTTTCTGGAGAAATTATACAAAAAATCTGGAACTGTTATTTCAAAATGACATTAGATAAAATTAAAATAGGTTTTAAAAGGTTATTTTTAAGTATTACTTTGTTGTTGAGAGATTTTTGAGAGTTTTTGTGTTTTGGTCACAGGGAGGGAAACTCACATGCTAAGCAGACACTGTACCTACCATGTTTTCTTGTTGTTTTACCTTCTTTGAGGCAATGAGGATTAACCTCAAAGCCTCCATCACCTGAGTCATATCTCCAACTTTTAGTATGTTTTTAGATGGTCCTGGCTAACTGTCCAGGCTGGCTAACTGTCCAGAACTGCAATTCTATTTCTGCCTCCTGAATAACTGGATTATACCATGTACCACCATGTCTGACTAGATTCTTTCTATGCAGTAAATATCTTGGGTTTAATCAGAGAGATATTTTCAATTTCAAAACACATATGCTTTCAAATAGGCATATGTTCTGATGACATAAATATGTAAATTGACATTTATAAATAACACTTTTCAATTTAATAGCACTTTAAAAGGACATAAAATGAATTACGTTTATGATTGAAAGAGCTGTACAGACAATTTAGATTTCTCTCGGTGTAATCCCAGCTACTCAGGAGGCAGTGGGAGTAAGATCAGTGCCTGAGGACTACTTAGACAAAAGTACATTTCTACTTATCTGAGAAACAAACTAAAGCAAAAAGAACTGACGACATGCTCAAGCACTTGCCCAGCAAGCACAAGGCCCTGAATTGAAACCACAATACTACCATAAAAATAACAAAATACATCTTTTCATTTCTAAGACCTTTATTGATTAATGATTTTTCTATTTTTTAGGGCAGAGGTTTGAAATACTGAAAAAATTAAGACAAACAAGCTTCACACAACTCAAAAATAAATGTGGGGCATGTTCATTGCTAAACTATGTATTATAAACATAATAACAATAGAGAAGATGGGTAAGTTGGAATTTACCAAAATACAACACTTTTGTGCAAAGTATACTACTACCAAGACAGTGAAAAGGCAATTCACGGGACGGAAGAAAGTATTTATAAATCGTTTGTCTTATGAGGAACCAATATGCAGAGTATCTCACTGAAAAAGAAACTTAAAAGCCAGGCATAGTTGTGTGTACCTGTAATCCATCACAAGGGAGGCTGGGTAGGTCAGCAAGTAGGTCACCTTGAGATAAACTGAAGCCATGATTCAAAAATAAGCCCTCCCTAGGACTTTTTATACGTAGGTATGTAACTAGCCAATAAGCATGAAAAGGTTCTAAACCACTCTAATCAAAAGAAAAATGCAAGTCAAAACAGTGAGGTGCCACTTTATACCCATTAGGGTGGCTATTAGCAAAAATTAGGGATGGTCCCCGAGCACAGCTGAGCATGAAGAAGGGAGGGATATGAGACAACCTAAAAGCCAATCTTCAGTGAAATCTGTAACACTAAAATCTATAGTCGCCAATAATCACTAAGTCCTCATCTCAAAAGGAAAAAAAGCCGATGCAAGGAGAAGAAAATTAATAAAAATAAGGGAATAAAGCAGTAAAGTTGAAAACAGACAATATTTCATTCAAATAAAAGCTAGTTCTTTGGGGAAAATCCAATATTGATAACCCGCTAGCAAGACTTGGAAAGATGATTTTTTAAAAAAAGGGAAGGCATATAAATATTAACAATGAAGCACGACTACAAATATTATAGTTTGTTGTTTGTTGGAGAATGGGTCTCACACTGCAGCCCAAGAGCCCTTCAAACTTGCTTTGTAGCCCAGGTACTTCAGAACCAAGGCACAGTGCTAATCCCAACTACTTAAGGGGTGCTGGACATGGTAGTCTTCACTTACTATTTCCAGCAACAAACAGAAGCACAATTAGGAGGATTATAGCCCAAGTCAACTCCAGAATAAAAACCCAACCTCCTAACAAAAGCAGAAAGGGGCTAGAAGCATGGATCAAGTAGTATAACCCTTGCCTTGCAAGCAAGCTCAAGGAGCTAAGTTTAATCCTCAGTACCACACACACAAAAAAAAGTGCTTCAGGAAGAAAGAAAATGAAATACACAGAAACTGAGATCTACATGAAGGAAAGAGAAGAGCAGAGAAAGTTAATTCTTTTATTTTCTTACCCTTACTTAATCTAAGAATATAACAGTTGGATCAAAGTTTTAATAGCAGTAATATACTGGGTAATTATAGCTTAAGGCCAAGGTAAAAGATGGATTCTCAGGCTGGACAAAAAAATACCACTTTAAATGTAAATACAAGTAGATCAAAGTAAAATAATGAAGAAATACAATGCTAACACTAATCAAAAGAAAGCTGGATGGTTTTGTTAGTGTCAGACATGGGTTGTGGCTCAAACAGTAGAGGGTTGCCTAGCCAGATGAGGCCCTGAGTTCAAATACTAGTTCCACTACTACCAATAATAATAATACCTCAAAAAAATAAAACACAAAAGCAGAAAGGAAAATTATCAGGTATCTACAGAGTATGACGTAACAATTCTTTCAGATATATAATCCTTAGAAAATGTATGTGCTAGCTATCGCTCCCACTGTAGTACTTACCACAAAACCAAGTTAATTCAACTGAGGAAACTGATGTTAAAATTTTTGTTAACAAAAATTAACTGAATAAATGTAATATTACAGCAGGAATATAATGTGCTTTGATCAAATTTAACTTACTCTTTCTTAGTCTCTGTCATTTCTGCTCCAGAGGAAGACTGTATTGCAACTGTTTTCATGTCAGAATAAAACTTTTTGTATTTGTCATTACCCTTTCTAATAAATGCTTATTGTTTCAATTTTCATTAAAGTAACTCCAGCTGGGGCTGGGAAGGTGGCTCAGTGGTAGAGCGCTTGCCTTGCATGGATGAGGCCCTGGGTTCGATTCCTCAGCACCACATAAGCAAAAAGAAAAAAGCCGGAAGTGGCGCTGTGGCTCAAGTGGTAGAGCGCTAGCCTTGAGCTGAAGAGCTGAGGGACAGCGCCCAGGCCCAGAGTTCAGGCCCCACGACCGGACCCCAAAAAAAAAAAAAAAAAAAAAAAAGTAACTCCAGCTGATGTAAAGGAAGGTGAATCCATGCATCACTGAATAGACTAGTCAATTAAATAACCCAAGTTAAATGAAGACGATCAATCACAGGAGCAGCTGTATTTCAATACAGGTCAATAATTATTACTTTGAACTACTTCTCAATTCAGTACTATGACATTTTGGACTAGGTAATTCTGTTTGTGAGAAGTTATTCTGTGTATCATCAGCAACCCTGGGTTTTACCTACTACAGGCCAAAGACCATCTTCCAAGTCATGATAATCAAAACTATCTTCAGATCTTGTCAAAATGCCTTCTGTTGTCAAACCTGCTCCTGGTTAGAAAGCACTGCTATGTTGAAACCCAAGTTTAATATTTGTGCTATTCTCACATTTATTTCAAGAAAGCTAGAAACCTACACTGCCATATAAATCGTGTTCTTAAATGCCAATTACTATGTAGTAGGTTAATATAGAACAAAACATTTTGCTACCAAGTATCTGTAGGGTTTTTTGAGCAATCGGGACATAAACTTGACACCTTTGCAAACAGAAATGTACTGTCACTATTTTAAGACATAAATTTACCTATTATATTAAAACGAAAAAGTATTTTTAAAAAGCAATAATAACCCAAATTCAAGAAACGTTGACTAGCACATTCTTTTTGATTTAGGCAAACATCACATTATAAATAACTGTTAGGGTAGTTAATAGTATTACATACTGTTAAAAGTGACACATTAAGCAGAATATCACCTACGAGCACTTACATCTCTCCTTAACATCTAGTAATTCCAAAAGGTTTTAAAAATGCTTACAACCAAGGAAATGTGAAGTTGAATAGCTCATTACACAAAACTTTGATCTGTAAGTCTATAGAATACATCCAATTTACAACTAAATTATATACCAATTAAGTAAAAAAATTATAAAAAAAATTTTAGAGAATCTCCAACAACCAAAGGAAAATTATGAGACTCACAAAAAATATTATCTCTTAAAAAATCTGAATTTTCTTCAGCCCAACAAAAAAAATTAGTAAGCTCAGACATTTACCATTAAGTTTATCATTTAGTTTCCACTAAAACTTTTAAATATTTTAAAATTAATTTAAAATTTCCTGCTTAATGAAACTTTCAAAATGATTTTAGTGGGTAAAAAAAGAATTTTAAATACCTTAAAACAACATTAATAATTACCTAAACTTTCCTTGCTTATACTCAAATATTTGAAATTTTTTAATTTAAATTTTAAGAGCCTATGTTATTTACAAGGAACAAGATAGCAATGTTTAAGCAATAAATGAAATATATCATTTACTATTCTCTGTGTAGGTATTTTTATCACAGAAGATCCAGATATCAGAAATAGGGAAACTGCTTAAACCCATCTGGAATAGTTTTAAAGGATAATGAGCAAGGTATTAACAGTGACTTATCTCCAATTTGGCGTGAGTTCTATTTTCTTCTTTGTATACTTATATTCTGTGATTTTGTTTTGTTTTGTTTTGAACATTTTTAATCCCAAAAAGGGAAAGAAGATTCAAGAGGTAAACACTAGCTGTGTCGTCCACATCATACATGGAAAAAGTGTTTTCTAAACTACAAATAGAAATTTCCTATCTAAGAGGCAGATACATCTTGGTGAAAGTGAATATATCAAGCTATCATATTGATATTGGTCATTAGTAACTAGTATTAAGTATTCTGATTCATATTCCATGCTTATTAGACAAT